CTCTCTCTCTCTCTCTCTCTCTCTCTCTCCCTTTCACCTCTATCTTATCTCATCTCTTTCCTTGGAGATAAACCAACCAGCCAAATTAAAGTATTTGTGAATGGGGTGGCTTGGGGATAGAAAGAGCTAGAAATCATTTGGTTTAGTTCTCTCTTTTGGCAGATAAAGAAAATGAGAATCTCAAGAGAGGTGAAGTGATTTGCCCAGAATGAATAGAGTTAAGTAGCAGAGCTGCATTTGAACCCAGGGCCTCTCATCCCAATTCTATCACTTGCTCCACTGTGCCTGTGTTGTCTCAGAAACAATAGCTGCATTGTTGGTGAAGCTATGAATCAGTATAACGATTCTGGAAAGCAATTTGAAATTAAGCAAAGAAAGTGCCTAATGTGCCCATAGCTTTGACCTAGAGATTCTATTAGGCTTCTAGTCCAAAGAGGTCAACGATTTAAACAAACAAATAAACAAACAAAAAAAAAACCAAGCCTCATATGTCCTAAACATTTAAAGCAGCACTTTTTGTAGCAGTGAGAAATTGGAAACAAAGCACTTGTTCTTTGATTAGGAATGGCTAAACAAGCTGTGTTATATGAACATAGTGGAATATTTGTTGTAAGAAACAACGAATATGATGAACACAGAAAAGTATGAGATTATTTACATGAAATGATGCCAAGTGACCACGATAATGCAATTGGAAAGAGCAACAATGATCAAACAATTGAAACAACCGATACTGCCCGGTCAGGCCACATTTGGAACGTTGTGTTCCGTTTGCCACATTTTAGAAAGGACAGTGAGTTGGAGCATGTTCAGAGAAAGGCAAATGAGATGACGAGGGGATTCAGAACAATACCTATCAAAACAAATATTGGGTTAAGAAACTGAATTTATGGGCTGTGTTGTAGCAAGGATTCTTGTTCGGGTATAGGTTGGAATAGAGGGGCTACTGAGGTAAAACAGTGATTTTATGACCTGGAAATGCTTAGCCTGAGGGAGAACAGAAGGCATGGAAGAGATGGGAGGGAAATAATCTTTATCCTTAAATATCTGAAGGCCATCAGGTGTTTTTGTTTCACTCCACTGGGCAGAATGAGGGTGGAATTACAGGAAGAGAGATTGCATCCTGCTAAAACTTCCTAACAATTAGAGTTCTCCAAAAGTATAATGGGCTGCCTGCCTCAAGGGCTAGTTGCATTATCAACCTGGTTACATTGTATCATTTGTACTTCATTATGACTGTCCATGATGCTGTTTTGTTCACTAATTGCTTCACCGTATATATTTGGTCTGTCTACTTGTGTTATAAGCTCTCAGTGGGCAGGGTCTATTTTTTTATATTTTTTGTACATTACAGTATAATAAAATGTACAATACCTTATATTGTGTCTAGCATGTGATAGACAATATCCGAAATATATGGCCATATATAACATAAATACAAGACAAACACATGACAATGACAAAAATACTAGTTTTGAAAAAGATTCCTTTTGCTTAAAGTAGGATGGTTTGAACAGTGGTTCTCACAGTGTGGTCTGGGGATCTCTAGGAGTTACCAAGATGCTTTTAGAGGACTGGGAAGTCACAACTATTTTCACAATACTACTAAGGCATTTTTATTTCCAATATGATAAACATAGACAGATATAACTTATATAAGCAAAAACTTTTTGAGGTGTCCTCTATTTTCAAGGATGTAAAGGAGTCTTGAGACCAAAAAAGTTTGAGAACTGCTGGTGTGGTAGAAAAAGAATTGGAATAGGAGACCCAGTTGGATTCTAGTTTTGGCTTGACCACTGTGTTACATTGGGCAAAATCATTTAACCCTTTGCATCTCAGTTTATACATGTATAAAATGGAGATAATACCAGTCCTGCCTCCTTTATCGTTGTTTTGCAAATCAAGTGAGATAATGGATGTGAAATGATTTTGAACATTATACATATCTGTGCTTCTTCCAGTTTTTGTTATTTACCCTCCAGGTTTTCACATGCTGTCTGTGAGGGAAAGAGATAAGACAGGTTTTTCGACCTACATTGCCTCTAAAAAAATCTGACTGAATTAATCTCCAGTCTGACAGGCTACTGTGTCCTTTGTTTCTTTAGAAGTCCCTCATACCCATCAAGTCAGAGAAGTTAGCTATATCCCAAGTATGGGTATCTGGGTTGGCTCAAACTGGGTCTCCGGAGGTTCCTCCTCCTTCATAAGGAATGGCATTATTATCCCCATTTTATAAATGTGTAAACCGAGGTGCAGAGGGTAAAATGATGGGCTCAAGGTTAACACGGTGGCGGGGGGGGGGGGGGGCAATAGTAGTACCCAACTACGTGTCCTAGTCTGATTCTTTTTCTACTATCAGCAGGTCTCAAACTTTTTGGTCTCAGGACGCATTTGCACTCTTAAAAATAGAGGTTTGGTTTATATGGGTTACATATGTCTATATAGAGGCTCACACTGCCAACAATCTCTCTAGTTGACCCACTCCTCGTAAGGATTTCATCAACCAGATTGTCCCATGACTTTGTTATTTAGGCACTTTCCCAGAGGATGGGTGGAGGAAAGACGCCACAAAAAGGAATAATACCTATTTTTGGTTCAAGTATCTCTACAAGTAATCTTTCCTCGGCATCACCCCGGTTTTCTTTCTAAAGTTCTTGAGCCCCTGCTTTCGGTGATGCACTGAAACTCAGTTCTGATCTGTTTCAGTAAAGGTTGAACGATGGGTGACCTTGATGCCAAACACAAAGCCAACTACGTACGTAGCAATCAGCAGGCCCTACTAGTACGCGCTAAAAGCAAAGACCAGCCCGAAGCCTCGGCAGCAAGCGAGACACAGCTGCCGGCGCACGGCAGCCCGAGCTGCTGGCCCCAAAACGCTCAGAGCATCCCCCACCTTGTACCTGTCTCAATATTCGCTCAGGATTCGCACCCCTTCCTGCGGCCGGACAAACACCAATCAGCTGCTGCTAGCCACCAGCCAATCAGAAGCCGCGAAATCTTCTTCCTTGGTGGGAGGGGAAGGGGGCGGGGAAAATGAAGTCAGCAGAGAGGCGGAGCCAGGGCAGGGCAGAGGGAGGGAGAACTCGTTAGAGACAACCAATGGAGAGCCGCGTCATGGCCCGGGCAGCCAATGACCTCGGTTCGCCGAAGGCCGCCAGTACGGGAGCTTGCTTTCGCGCCCTCGCCCCTTCATCTTGACTGGAAAGTTTCCCGGGGAGTTCGAGGACGAAATGTCGGCCTTCTTACAGGCCCTGCAGAATAAACTCTCACCCAAGGCAGCAGCGGGGGTCCGAGTTGAGGAGGAGGATTTGAGGAAATGGGGTTTGACAGGTTAGTGAGGCCCGGGCTCACGTGGTGTCTGAGAGCCGCCGACTTGTAGTCAGTTTTTCTTCCGCACGGAAGTCTCGCGTTGTCTGTAACTGATCAGCCTTCTCTCTCCCCTCCCCCCTCCCCCGCCCCGGCTCCTGTCTTCCCAGGCTCCCAGGCTTAGCGCTCTTGTGGAATGAAATTGGCAAGCGCGGTGCAGTCATCTGGGGCAAAGACCCAGACCTTTTGGAATGTGCATTTTGGGGGGAAGGGAAGAAACCCAGTTTTGGAGCTGAATGTCCATCCTTAGCCTCCTGGACTCCAGCCCTCATGACCTGGCAAGTTCGAAGGAGGGAGTTTAGGAAGTTAAAGCGGGACGTGTGTCCCACGTCCCCAAGACTCGAGAAAGGCTTTTCGTGAGAACGAGACTTTGGGTCAGTATTAGGAAAAGTCATCTTAAGAATGAGCCCTTCATTGAGTAGGTGGAAAACCACCCGTCTGTCGTGGGCTTGTGCACTGACCCAGGTTCTCTTTAACTAGGATTTTCCTGCCTTCTCTTGAATGGAAGCGGGACAGAGTTAATTAACGTGCGTGCTATAATTTGGAGTGCAACCACGGTTCTTGACTATCCTTAGGGGTTTTCCACAAATGCACATTTTTTTTTTTATGGTCCTTACTTTGTATCTCTGGCCCTTACGCGAAAGAGTCCAAAGCATTAGCCAGAGACAAACCAAGCAGCCCTTGCACATACCAGGGCGGAATATAGGTGGGCAGAAGGGTGAGCTCTGCTGCTCTTTAGCCAGGTGACAAGCTCGTGGACAGAGCCCTAAAGTCCTTCCTTCCTCACTATCTTATATGAAACTACCTTGTATTTATTCTGTATAGACTTATACGTATGCACTATGACTTCCTCAATAGAACATAAACTCTGTGAGAGCAGGGTCTTTGTGTCCCTAGGATTAGCATAATGCCTGACACCTAATAAGTTCTTTAATTACTTGATCTAGTAATTTTTTTGAAAGAAGATATTAATATTTCATCTGCATCACAAGAGTTGATCAAATAATTTTTTAAAAGATTATCGATGCATTTTATTTTAATAGATTTTGGTTGACATCTTTTGTTTTTACATCAATGAGACTTCTCCTTGTATCTTACCTTCCCCTCTAACCTGACCTTTCCTAGAGAGCCATTCTTATAAAAGAATTTAAAAAAAACCCCAAAACTCAGCAAATCAGCACACACTTTTGTCTGTCTGTCTATTCGATGTTCCACACAGTGTGGGGGTGGAGAAGGGAGTTGTTTTCTTATAACTCCTCTTTGGATCCAAGCTTGTTCTTTGTAACTTTGCTTTATTAATTTCCTGTTGTTTTGTGCTTCTTTTCATTTACTGTCATTGTGTATTTTGTCTTCCTCGCTCTGCTTACTTCACTTGGCTTCAGTTCATTTAAGTTCATGCTTCTGGATTCATTGTGATCATTGTTTCATATATGTGAATATTCCATTACATTCATGTACCACAATTTGTTTAACCATTTTCAGGATGGAAATATCCTTTGTTTCCATTTCTTTGGAAATGAATGCTGCTAAAAATATTTTTGTGTTTATGGGGTCTTTCTTTTTGTTAATGACCTCCTTGGAGTATGTACCTAGCCTCGAAAGCTCTCTAGGTCAAAGTATGTGGGCATTTTAACCATTTCATTTGCATAATTTGAAAATGCTTACCAGAATGGTTGTACTAATTCACAGCCCCTCTAGCAATGTTATTATGCCTGTTTTCAGGCAACCTCTCCAACACAGTCTCTTCCTGTCTTTTGTCATCTTTACCAATTTCTTGGGTTTGAAGTATAAGGACTGTTTTAATTTATATTTCTCTTATTAATAATTTGGAGTAGTCTTTTATATGGTTGTTAATTGTTTCCAATTCTTTTGAAAAGTGTTTGTCCTTTGACCAATTATCTGTTGGAGAATGGCTTTTGGTTATATATTTCTGTTGCCTCTATATGTTGGATACAAACTCTTATAAGAGATCTTTGATTCAAAGATTTTTAACCAATTCAACCACTTCCTTTCTTGTCCTAGATACATTAATTTTATTTGTGCAAAAGCCTTTTAATTTCCTGTCATTAAAATTATCTTAGATAGATGATTGGTATGTGTTGGAGGTGCATAACAAGGTGTATAAAGCATCACATTGCATTATCCCCAGATATTCTGCAACTGATCAGAAACTTGGATCTTTGCAATATAAACAAGGATAGTAATGCCTGCCTCTCCTACCTCACAGGGTTGCTGTTGACGCCCAGAAGTGAAAGTGCTCGTAAAAGCATTTTATTTTATTGTTATCATTATTATTTTGCTTTTTGGCAAGGCAATTGGGGTTAAGTGACTTGCCCAGAGTCACGAGGCTAGTAAGTGTCAAGTATCTGAGGTCACATTTGAACTTGGGTCCTCCTGACTCCAGGGCCAGAGTGTAAAAGCATTTTAAAACAGTAGAGCATCATATAAATTTAAGACATTAAAAACCAACAAGCACACTTCTTATTTTCTTTTAAAAGTAAATCTGTCTTGGGGGGGGTGAATCAAGAGAATCAATAAAATGAAATTCGAGTTTAAATCTGTAGGCATCCACTTGTATGTGTGCATATCTATAGCTATCTCTTCTTGTTACTGCTATATGAGTGTATATTGTTGACTCATCTATGTGTGTCTCTGTGTAAGTACCTGTGGCAAGGTGTATTATCTGTAGCCCAGCACAGCGTATTGAATAGAATAGGCACTTAAATATTTGTTGATTTAAAATGTCAGTCAGGGGCAGTTAGGTGGCAGTGAATAGAGCACCAGCACTGGAGTCAGGAGGACCTGAGTTCAAATCCAGCCTCAGACACATAATACTCACGAGCTGTGTGACTCTGGGCAAGTCACTTAACCCCAATTGCCTCACCAAAAAAAAAAAAGTAAGCATTTATTAAGTGCCTACTGTGTGCCAGGAACTGTGCTAAACACTGGGGATGCAGAGGGGAAAGACAGTCTCTCTGGCCTCAAGAACTCCCCAAACTAATAGGAGAGACAAAAAGCAAATAGGTTAAGTATAAACAAACTATATACAGGATAAATACGAAATAATCAACAGAGGAAAGGCAATAGAATTAAGAGGGATGGGGAAAGGCTTTCCATAGAAGGCAGGATTTTAGTGTTTCTGAATTGTATCGTGTTTTCTACCTATGTGTACTAGTTTGGAGTTAGAAAGCCTGAGTTTGAGCCCTGGACAAGGCACAAGAACCTCAGTGTCCTCACCTATAAAATAGATGACTCCACTCCCCCCACCTTTTGTATTTCACAAACTTGCTGGGAAGGTTATGTGAAATAATGGGTGTGAAAATGCTTTGTAAAGTACACAAAAACCACTCAAATATGTTCTTGTACGAAGATAATTATGCATGATGATGACTATGTCTGCTTTAGTGAATATGTTATCTCATTGATGGGGGCATTCCCTTCGTGGGTAATTGTCATAACATCTCAGTTTCTGATTCTGTGAGATTCTGTTGTCCACTGCCTATGCTGGAGGCAAGGTCCTCTTGACCTTTAAAAAAGCCAAGCCAGAAAACATTTCGAGGGCACCTGGGCCGTGTTTGGACTGTTTATCTCTTTTCTTTTGTTCTTAGTACATCATCGTATAAATGATGATCAAGATATTATAATAATCACTTACCGAGTTCCCATGAGCCCTTTCCACATTGATCAGTGCCCCAATGGGGATATGTGAAAGGTCATCGAGGCTCAGTAACCCAAGGACGTACAGGACTGGGTTGCAGAGTCAACCTGAGATTCCTGGAAGATGAAAGCCCCTTGCGTCTCCTTGAATATACCCCTGCTGCCTCCTCTTTTGTCCTGTTTCACTGCTTCCTAGCATATACTCCAGCTGTGGAGTTGGGAGGGAAATAAAAGAAGAAATTTCAAACCAGTAAGTTGTTTTTTTTTTTTTTCAAGATGTGTCAGTAGAAGGTATTTTTGGTTTTGCTTTTTGAACAAAAGGAGATTGATTGTAAGAATTGCTTCAAATTAGGTTTGGGGAATGGTGGTAGTGCTGGGGATTTGTGGTTCACTTATTTATGTTTTCCTTCTTCCCCATTACCACAGAGAATTGAGTTTAGCCTACATTGTAATTTCTATTTTACTAAAAGCAAACTTTCTGGGAAGATGTTTCTGCGAAGATCTGGTATTTTTTTTTTTCAGGTCAGTGGGGTCAGATCTCATTTAGATGGCTGCTTTTAAACAAGAAAGCGTCCGTGGCCATCATATTTATAAATTTGTGTTTATATTGCATCTTCCCTCCTAGAAGATTTTATGAAGGCAGAGATTGTATCCTTTCCTCCCTTGTAAAAATCTTATTTTTTAATATCTTCTGTTTTTATATCACTTCATTTTTGAATGTATCCTTCCCCCATCTCCCAGCCAGTGAGTCAACCCTTATAACAAAGATTTTTTAAAAGAAAGAGGAAAAAAAGCAGTTCAACAAAACCAACCACCATTTTAACCCTATCTGATGGTGCATGCAACATTATACCCTCATAGTTTCCTCCTTTGGTAGGTAGGGGGCAGGTACATTTCCTTGGTTCTTCTCTGGAAGAAAGTCTGGTTTATTATGATACATGGTATTCAGAGTTTTTTGTTTTTATTTTTTCTCCTCTTTCTGATTTTTTTTTTTTGTGAATATCACTCCAGGGACTATCTTATTATCTTTCTAGCTCTTCGATTTATATATAGTTGATGCTTAATAAGTGGAGGAAGGAATCCATACTAGCTTGAGAGACAGCCTGGCTTCCAGCCTGTAAAATGAGTGTGGAAATATTAATGTACCCTTACTGGCTTTAAATGGAAAGATGAATAAAATGCTCTTTTGATGGTCTAGAGGATTTAGGGAAGGATGGGACTTTTGAGGTCATCTGATCCAACCTTTTAATTTTGCAGATGAGAAAAACTGAGGTCCTGGCACTTTGAAAATTAAATGCTTAAACGATAATCATTTCCCAACAGATAATAGAGCCACTTGTTCTGTGAATTGGGAAACTGGGGTTTTGGGCTTGGTTCTGTAGTTCTCTGTTGTCGTATCTCAGAAAGATTAAATAAAAGTACTTGTTCATCTTGGACTTTTATTTGTAGGGATTCATTTGCGCTCCTATCAGCTGGCTGGAGTCAACTGGCTGGTGCAGTGTTTTCAACATCAGCATGGCTGCATTCTTGGTGATGAAATGGGCCTGGGTAAGACGTGCCAGGTAAGCATCTGTGACTAACCCATGACATATCTCTATTTTTATTTTATTTTATTTTTGAGAATCCAAATTTACAAAGGGACAACAAACTTTGTGGGGTTTGTACCAGCACTAACAGCTAATCAACATACTAGAGAAATGGCGGTGGGAGCCTGCAGTTTAAGAGCTGTAAAACTGGTCTTTTGAAGTGAGAGAACTAAAGGCAGTGAGGTGGCTCAGGGGATAGCGCACTGGCCCTGGAGTCTGGAAGACCTGAGTTCAAATCCAGCCTCAGACATTTACTAGCTCTATGACCCTGGGCAAGTCACTTAACCTTTGTTTGCCTTAATCTGGAGAAAGAAATGGCAAAACCTCTCCAGTATCTTTGCCAAGAAAACCCTATGGACATTATTGGCATTCTGTGGTCCTGAATGAACAACAGCTACTGTCGACCTTGGGCAAGCTGTTTAATCTCGTTATTCTCATTCCATCATCTGCACATTGAGGGATTTGGAATTGATGCCTCTAAGGCCCGTTCTACTTTTTTATTTTTTGGTTAGGCAATGGGGTTAAGTGACTTGCCCAGGGTCACACAGCTAGTAAGTGTTATGTGTCTGAGGCCATATTTGAACTCAGGTCCTCCTGAATCCAGGACTGGTGCTCTATCCACTGTGCCACCTAGCTGCCCCAAGCCCCTTCTATTTCGACATACTGTGATTCTACATACAGAGATGAGGCCAAGGATACTTCCACAAAAAGAGGTGAGATTTGGGTTGTTTTCCTAGTCACAAAGATGAATTTCTGTTGAGACATCTCCATTGTCTTATGACCGACCAGTGGCTCATTGTGAGATCATGATCCAGGCTCAGGGTTTCAGCCTGTGGCCCTGGACGGGGTTTTTTCTTTCCCCAATCCTCTGATCCTGCCTACGGGGTATTGCTGATTATCTAACTTCCTTAAACACTGTGGTCTAACTGGCTGGGCCAGAGTGAAAGCCAATTAAAAACAAATTGAATTAAACAAGATCTTTTCCTGGGGATTTCCAGCTAATAGAAGGGGCCATTTCAGAGCCCATCTCTGCTTTATCTTCCGAACCTTCTTTACTTATTTCCAAAGGCTTAGCTCGTTCTGTTCTCCTGACTGCACAGTCTTAGGGTATGGGAGCAAAAATCACTCTGAATGAGTGAAAGAAAACTGAGGCAGAGCTCCGAACCAAAACACTTTAAGTATTAAAGGGACCTGGTCCCCTCTAGTGAAGTGGATCTCGGACCTTCCTCATGATCTGAGGTACTCTCTCCTTCCAGGGCCCTATTTTTATAGGGTTAGATGACGAGACATTCTAGAGAGGCTGTACCAAATACAGAATAATTCCATTAATTGACACATGATGCTGAAAGCTAAAAAGCTTTTTTCTTTTAAAAAAAAAGAAGCTAAAAGAAGCAAAATGATGTATCAGCAGGGTCATGGGTTGGGTAAAGCAAGAAATATCTCAGCTGACTAGGTGGTTACAAGATGGACGGGCTCCTCCTTTGGTTGGCAAAGAGGAGATGGTACAAGTTATCCATATACTCCAAGAACATATCAGGGGGAACTTTCCATACAATGCCACCACCCGTGCTTGGTTTGGTTATGGAATTTGAACAAAACAGGATGGAGATATCCATGTCAGCCTTCTTGCGGTTATACAAGTAAGCTCTATTGCTGGTAAGCAAGCATTAAAATTTGAAACCTCTCATAGGATCCTCCTATTAGAATCTATATGCCTGTGTAACATACAAAATATGGACTAATACAATATTATTCTTATACAGTTATTGATTAACTGACTAAATATCTATTACTAAATGAGTACATTAAAATAATTGCTAACAACCGTTACCCCTTTTAGATCAAACTAGACTGACTCCTACCAATTAGAATTTGAGTAAGGGTCCTCAACAAATTAACCTTCTCAAGGGTCTAACAGCCTTTTCCCATTGACCTCTCCCTGCTATTGGATGCTGTGTTATCCTTCCTTCTCTGTATCTCAGTGGTTCTTAACCCGGGGTCCATGATGTTGCTTTTTAAACTAATTTGACGTGTAGGTTTCAAGAGAATGGTTTTCCTTTACAATCTTAGGTATTTTATTTTAAGCAATTAATAACATTATTCTGAGATGGGGTCCATAGGCTTCTCTAGACTGTGTCAAAGGGGTCCATGGCACAGAAAAAAAAAATGAGAATCTCTAGTCTACACTGTTATTTCACTAGGAGCAGCGTGAATTGATCTTTTATAGCTCAGTAGCATCTTCTGTGAATCATTTTCTATTTTTCCCACATTATTATTGTGATTATTAATTTTTCCCTGAGAAACTGTCTTTACCCAAGAAAGTTATTGGGGGGGAGGGGATCTATATTGCCAGATGTGCCCCTTGTGAGCTCTTATTTTGGCACTTCTTCCCAAAATACAGGGTGTCCCAAAAATCTTAGTGTGGCATGCAGTGAGAACGTTGCAGAAGCCTGGTTTAGAGACCAAGCATCTGCCCTAAGACTTGGGGGACTCACCATCTGCCTTTTTTCCATGGCCTTTCCTTTCTGCTTGGTCTCTGAACCAGGTATCAGCAGTGTTTTCACATTTTTTTGTCATGCTAAGAAGCAACAGAGGAAATGGATTATACCATGCATTTCCCATAATGCCCTTGCCATCTGAGTAGAGGTGGAGGCAGCTACAACAGAGCCTAAAAAATTGGAACAAGCTGAACTTGTCACTATGGAGTGTCAGCAATTACTCTGTTGCTAGAAGATGGTGGCCTGACCAGGATGACTTGCTCTCTGTCATGTATCCTGGGGTGACCACCCTGACTCTAAAAGTCCTCTGGCCTCATCAGACCAGGAGAGTCTCTTGTCCACTGGCTGTACCTAGTATACTTGCTCAGAAGGCTTAGAGTATGGCACAGCTTAGTCCTTCTGTGGGAGAATGTAATTGGGTATTGGTCATGGGAGCCTGGTAGTTGTTGTGCATGGATGAGGCAGGGGGGATAAAGATATTCTCTCTCTTTTTTTTTTTCCTGTTCCAGACTATTGCTCTTCTCATTTACTTGACCGGGAGTCTAAAGAAGAAGGGACCATTCCTGATCCTGTGTCCTCTGTCTGTTCTGACCAATTGGAAGGAGGAAATGGAGAGGTATGTGCTATCAAAATCCCAACTTGCTAAAAGTAACAGTGACCTTTTGATGTTTTGAAATGTGTTACCTTGAGGCTTTTTCCTTGGTGTGATAGGCATGTATCAAAAATCTGCAGTAGGCAAAAATTAAGTTTCTGGTTTATAATGATTTTATAGTAGTATGCTAATGGCTAGGATGGCAGTACAGGAATAGAGGAGGAGAAAGGTAGAATGTATGGTGCATTGTTGGCTTTTGTTGGGGCTGAGAAATGGGCATTATTTTTAGTATTTGACCATTTTGCTGAAACCACAAACTAGCCTGTCTTGTGGAGGCACCATGGGGTAACTAGCAAAGGGAGGGAGCTGTCAGTGTCTGGGGCTGGCCTGTGACCCCCCTAGATGTGCAGATTGGCCCCGAGTTGTTCACAGACTTGCCCTAATGTCAAGCCATCTTCTGAATCTCCGGTCCTCTTCTTTAAGATGGCAGCAACCATGCCTACCTGTGAAGGATGTTGGAAGGTTTAACAGGTGTTTTGCTTGAGAAGCACTCAGCATCATTTATGATGACATCTGTATTATCATGTAAGAGCCAAGCAGCCTGAAGGGTTTTCTCATCTTAGGGCTTGGACATGAAGAGGTACCACTGGCTTGGGATACTTCTGAGAAGGTAGTGTTCTCTCCTCCAGCACAGCCCGCCCTTGGCACCTAAATACTGATCTCTCTTCCTTTGCTATGTGTCTTTCTTGGATTTAGATTTGCTCCTGGCCTTTCCTGCAAAGTATACACAGGTGACAAGGAAGAGAGAGCTTGCCTGCAGCAAGATCTGAAAAAGGACTCCTCTTTCCACGTGCTTCTGAGCACGTATGAGGTGAGGTACTCATCCATTCTCTAGCCTAAGCTGCTGTTTCTTCTACCAGTGGACAGGGCTTCAGGGCGGAGGGACAGATTCTTAAGCTGGGTCGTCTAGTCTCCTGGATCAGTCCTTAGCTGAGCAGCAGAGAACCTTCCCGGCAACCCTCCAAAAGCCAGCTCAGCAAGTTTGGGCTTGAGATGTGTAGGGTCACTGAAGCGCATAGGCTGGAAGAATGCCCTCAGGCCACCCTGTCTCCCCCTTTTAATTTTCAAGCCTCAGCTCCATCTCAGCATCGTGGCCCGAGTCCAGCGCTAGGCAAGCCAGCCATGCATTGCTGGGGAGGGTCTGTCCCCTAGCTTCCCTATCCCCTCGCATATAATTTGCTGGCTGACCATCCCTGGAATGTGCCTACATTGACTCTTTTTATCCAAAGCGGGGAGGGTGGTGCTTTACAATACTGTTGTCCCTTAGTCCATATTTAACCCTCAAGTCAGCCTTTTTGTGGCTGAAGGAAAGAGAAGGGAGCGAGCATTTATTAAGCGCCTACTGTGTGCCAGGCCCTCCGCTAAGCACTTTATAAATCTTATCTCTTTTGATCCTCACAACAACCCTGGGAGGTAAACGCTATCATTACCCCTGTTTTACCCTTGAAGAAACTGAGGCAAACAGGTTAAGTGACTTGCCTAGGGTTACACAGCTAGTATCTGAGGCTAGATCTGAATTCAGGTCTTCCTAACTCCAGGCCCCGTCGTGTCCTCCAGCTCCACATATTTATTCACCTCTTTTTGTCTTTTTCTGATTTGCCCTAATTTATTTTTCCATGTTTATAAGTTTGTGAACATAAATTTGGATTTTTATGGATTGCTCGGCAAATATGCTTCAGATACCTTGAGAACATACTTCCTAAGACGTAGGGTTCTCACTGAAGCGAGAAGTGTCTTCTGTGAAAGGAATGACGTGAAGCAGGGAGCACCCATCTCCTTGCTGTTTTAGTTCTGAAAACAAGCTCTCCCTGCAGACTTGGTACGTCCCCATGATAATACTTACCCCTCCACAGCCGGGGTAACTGGTGGGTCACCTTAGCAGCTGAGCGTGGTCTCGGCAGGGGCCGGGTGAGCCCAGATTTAGAGCTGGAAGGGACTCCATGTATCATCTAGTCCAGCCCTCTCATTTCATAGCCGGGGCCCATGAGGCCTGAGTGACCGGGCAGGGTTAGAACCTGGGTTTTCTGACTCCACCTCCCCACCCCACACTGCCTGGCCATCAATGGAGAAAGAGAGGGGATGGGTCTTCAGGCTGGCACGAGCTGCTGCGCGCAGGTGACGTGAATGCCTTCCAGAACATGGGAGGTGAGAGGGCCCACGTTGGGTGACGAGGATGCCCCTCTCCTCATTGGACTGTCACACGCAGGGCTGCAGACACCGCAGGGCTGCAGACACCACAGGGCCCTTTTCTCACGTCCCCCCAGAGCCGTCTGTTGAATGATAAAGACCTCGGTGCCAGGAACGTGTTGGTTCCAATTCCTTCCTTCCCTTTGTTTGCTTTGCCCATTAAGACCAGAGGTAGTGGGTCAGAGTGGGGCGAGCTCTGGGTGTGGCGTCAGGAAGAAAAGACCTGGTTTCAGGTCCAGCTCTGACACTAAGTGTGTTGAGATGTGGATCCATCGTGGGGCCTCCCAGAGCCTCGGGCCACTCCCTAACACTGTGGGCTGCCATTTGTGTTGGGGGAGGTAATGAAGTCATGGGTCCTTGGTGACTCATTGGAGCAGGCCTGTCCTGTCCCTCCCTGTCCTTCCTCTTCCCTACCTGCATGTAAAAGTGCTTATGTGCTCAGGATTATTCTTTTTAAGTAAAATTAGGGAATTTTTTTACATTTCTTTATTTCCAAATATATCCTTCCCCCCACCTCTGCCCAGCAAAGAAGAAAAATGAGAGGGGGAATATTGCAGTTCAGCCAGAGAACAATTCTGAAAGTATCTGCAGGGACTGATTGACACCTGTAGTGCCCTACCTCTGCACAGAAAGGGAGGGAGGGGCTCCGTCTCCTCTGGGCTGGTAGTGATCATTGTACTTACCCAGGGTTCAGGCGATGTCCTCTCCATGAGGGTCATTGTTATCATTTTATAGAACTTTTTCAGGTCTGCTTATGTCACACACCATCTTCTTTACTGTGGAACCTGTAGCAGTGCCATCAACAACTCTGAAACTTTTCTGATTACAGAGTACACTTCCCTCTGGGTCCTCAGCATTCCTTTGCTGGTTAAATAAGCATTTATTAAGCACCTGCTGTGTGTGCAGCACAGCATCTGAGAGGTAGAGCACACAAGGTGTAGCTGTAAAATCAGACCTCTGGGGGTGGACCTTTCTAGCGCATCTCTCCTCCTCAGGCATAGCACCCCTTCCTGAAATTGGGGTGAAGGAGATTGTGTAGGAGCACAGAAGGAGAACTGTCTCTAGACGTGGCAAGCCTGGGTTCAGATCCTCTGTCATTGGGCAAGTAATGTGACTGCCCTGGGACTCAGTTTCCTCATCTGTACAACTAAGGGGTAGGATTTAGATGACCTCAGGTGACTCTTTCAGCTCTACATCTATGATCTGACCGTGTCAGGAGGAGTGCTATTTGTATCAGGGAATTTGCTTTGGAAAAGCATGACTCATGACAGAGAAATGTGACAGATTTGGCAAAAGCAAATGATTCAATTAACTCTTTTAATTGAATTTGGGGAGCTTTCTTTCATGTGTACGTATAACTCCATGGTCACTGAGGCCCCTTGCAAATCTCAGATTCTGTGATGCTACAGTCCAGTAAATCTAATGCCGAGGCAGGTTTTCTGTCGGTCTAGTTTGTCATCTTGGTAGTTGGGTTAGCCTCTGGTTGTCTCCATGGGATGCTGAAGCTTGTACTGATTGATTAGTGCAAGTGGGCATTGAATCCTGCCCTCATTTGCCAGGTTACTTTGGGCAAGCTTCTGCCCTGATGTCTGCCTCATTTCTGTTGCTTGTTTTCACAGTGATCCTCGTTAGAGCTCCCTGGTTGGAAATCTTTATTACTACGCTGGCCAGAACATTTCTGTAACTACTGAGTGAATTAACCAGTACCTCACTCAGTGGTACCAAACTCAAAGAGCATTGACTTCAAAAACCACAAATTAACATTATCTGTGTTATATTGTATTTTTATTAATTCTGCTAAATGCTTTCCAATTATATTTCACTATATTCCCAATTATATTTTAATCCAGTTCCTCCTGGGGTGTTTTGTAGGGCAGGGCTCCAAATTGGACACCTTGTTATTAGAAACATTTTTTTTATTGTTTCCTGAGACCCTAAGGTGAAGACAAGTAACATAGAGAGAAAGACCATCACTAACTCATTCCCAAAGGAGCTATTTCTGTACAGGCCTTGTGTAACATACATTGTTTAATTTTTCAGATTTGCCTGAAAGATGCAGCATTTCTAAAAACGTGAGTAAATGGTGTTGCTTCCAAAGTCCACATTAGCTGATGCATTAGACACATGTCCTTGATTCAAACCTTCCCTCCCCCTCTCCCTTTGTAAAGCATTTCACCCCTTATGAGTGTAGTTTGCATCTTTCCATAGAGAATAAGTAGCCTTTGGAATAGACACTTTTCCAGGCCAAGTGCTTGAGGAAAAGCAAAGAGAATCTGTTACAAGGCTTCAGGAAGTGAATATTTTGAACCAGTTCATGAGTCATACTTCTACCAGCAGGCAACTTTTTTCTATTTTTAAAAGATAAGGACTAAATTAAAGTAGTTTGCATTCAGGCCCATCAGCCCCTAAAATGCAATGATAAGAACTCTTGAGAGGCAGTGTGGCTTAGTGGAAGTCATTTAACCCCTCTAAGCCTCAGTTTCCTAATCTGTAAAATGGAGATAATTGCATTATCTATTTCTTAGGGTTATTGTGATTGCAAACCTTAAAACACTGTGTAAAGTGTGAGTTACCAAACCCCAGTCCAGAATTACCCACCTCCACTTGCTTTGAGTACTCTTATTGACCTACTGCTGAACAGAGCTGGAAAAAAATTAGGAAACCATGCTGATTGGGTTTACTACAAATTCATGTTACATCATACCAATGGGCCCTCACTGAGCAAAGCGAGCCTTTTACACCTCAGTCAATTTGTTCTCCCATCCCAGCAGCTATTCCAAACCTTCATAATCCTCTTCATGCCTCTCTCCATCCTTTTGGCTGAGGACCTTGCTTCCTTCTTCCTTGAAAAAGTTGAGGCCAGATAGCAAGTATGCTCACTTCTCCTTTCTTCCTCATTTCACGTCCCTCAAACATCTTCTTCCACTAGCTCCTCCTTTACTTCTATAGCCAGTAAAGAGTGGACTCTTTTTTTTAACCAAGGCAAACCAAACACTCTGGATCCCGTCCCCTGTTGTCTTCTGCAGATCGCCACATCTACTGTCCCCACTCTCTTAATCTTCAATCTCTTCCTATCTACTGGCCCCTTTTCTCATGTCTATAAATAAGTCCATGTCTTCTTCATTCTTAAAATAACCTCTCACTTGATTCTATCCTGTCTCCATATTCTATCATCTAATCTCTCATCCTCTTGGCTAAACTTCTTGAGAAAGCCACATCATCATCGTCATCATCACCACCACCACCATTACTGCCATCACCACAACTCCTTGAGAAAGCACAATCATCATTATCATCATCATCATCATCCTTGTCATCACCATCACCATCATCACCACCGTCACCACCATCACCATCACCATCATCACCACCATCACCACCATCACCACCATCACCACCATCACCATCATCACCACCATCACCATCACCATCATCATCACTATCATCACCATCACCATCATCACCACCATCACCATCATCACCACCACCACCATCACCATCATCACCACCACCACCATCATCACCATCACCACCATCACCATCATCACCATCATCACCATCATCATCATCATCTCTTTGAGAAAGCCACATAATCATAATAATAATTACCTCATTGAGAAAGACATAAATAGCTAGCATTTAACAACAATAATAGTTAGCATTTAAATAGTGCTTTAAGGTTTGCAAAATAATTTACAAATATCTCATTTTATCCTCACAGCAGCCCTGGGAAGTAAGTGCTGTTATTATCCCCACTTTACAGATGAGAAAACTTGAGACAGACAGGGTGACTTGCTCAGAGTCACATAGCTAATAATTATCTGATGATGGTTTTGAACTCAGGACTTGCTGACTAGACCCAGTCCTCTGTTCACTACTTCACCCAGCTGCCTCTACTTTCTCTCCTCTCACATACTTTTAAACTTGTTGCTGTCTGGCTTCTGACCTGTGATACTGCTCTCTCTGTATTACCAATCGCCAGATCCAATGGCCTTTTCATAGTCCTCCACCTTCTTGACCCTCTGCAGCCTTGGATTCTGTTGGCTGTTGTCCTCCTGAATATTCCCTCTTGATGTTTTTACGACATTGATCTCTCCTGGTTCTCCTTCCACCTTCTTAATCTCCTTTGCTGGATTTTCATCCATGTCACACTGGTTTGCCAGGTATGTACTCCAAGGTTCTGTTCTGGCCTCTTCTTTCTTGGTGATTCTATCAGCTCCCTTGAGTTCCATTGTCAGCTCTGTGCAGGTGATTTCCAGATCTGTATATCTTGCCCTAGTCATCCTGAATGCCGGCTTCATGACCTCTTGTCTAATGATTGCAGTGGCCTCCTCATTTGTCTCCCTGCTTCCAGTCTTTTCCTTCTCTAACCCAGCCTCTTCCCAGCTGCCAAAATAAACTTGCTAAAGCACAGGCCTGAGCCTGGCTCCCTGTTCAACAGTCTCTGCTGGCTCTCCATGATTTCCAGGATAAAATATAAAATCCTTAGCCCAGTATTTAAGTTGCCCTTAATCTGCCCTTAATCTTCCTGTGCAGTTGTATTTCATTCTTCATCTCACCAAATCTACATTCCAGACACTATGGACTACCACCTGTTCCCCAAAGTTGACTCTACCTCTCACCTCTTCATGTACACAGCATTCTCCCTGCCTGGAGTTCACTGCTTCTCATTCCCACCTCCTGAAATTCTTGTCTTCCTTAAGGTTTAACTCATGCTCTGTGAAGGTTAACTCATGCTTCTTTGTGAAGCCTTCTCTGATTCTCCTCCCCCCTCCCTGCCAAACACATGTACCTAGACATACACACGCATACACATACATACATGCACATATACACACACTTGCAAGTTTCCTCTATGCCTCAGTTTTTCCTGTTCACTATTATGCTTCTTTGTATACATTGTGGCCTCCCAGAAAAAGGTGAGCTCCTTGAGGGCAGGGCCCATGTCCCTAATGCCCATCTCCTGGTGTTTAAGACCACACTATGCACATAATGAGTGCTTGATGTCTATTGAATTGAATGGTCATGGTCCCAGGCTTGACTTTCTAGAAGGCAAGGCTCCTCACACTCTTTTGTATCCCCCTCAGGTCCTCCTGCTTTGCAACAAATGGAAGCATTAAGAAGTGCTTGTTGAGTAAAGGAAAGAATGAATGAATGAATGAAGCAATTGACCTGCATTTGGCCCATTTCTGTTAGAACTGGCCCATTGTTAGTCTTTCAGCTGCTTGATGTGGTTGGGAAATAAGTTAATTAGCAAAAACACACCAGATGGTGATCTGTATTTGGATTAAACAGAGATGTAACATTAATTTTCCTCTCACAGTTTCTCTTGGAGCGTTTTGGTTGTGGATGAAGCCCACAGATTGAAAAACCAGAGCTCGCTGCTGCACAGAACCCTTTCAGAGGTAAACACAGGATGGTCTTTCTTAGTCCTTCCATTTTAGCTGACGTCCACATCGGGTACGTCAGAAAAAGGACCGAATCATTTGGTTCGTCTGATTCCTACAGGACCAGGTCAATGGCCGTCAAGTGACTGGATGGGTATTTGGCTGTGACATTGCTCGTCTTTGCTCCTTGGTAAAGCAAATAAGTTTAGGAAACACCTGGTTGCTCAGTCTTTCAAATGTCTGAAGACTTCAAGCCTGTCCCCTACCATAATCACCGAAGGAAATGGGCTGGACTCCCAACTGGAAATAAAATGGAGGATCAGTTTCCCAGGGAAGGCTCATGAAGTCATAAGAGCTGGGTCCCAGAGCTACTGCTTGGGACTTTGGCTGTGTCTTTTTCCCAAGAGGAATATCTCTCAGCTCCCAGTTCAAAGGTCCTTTGGCCAGAAAAATTTCAGTGATGTGGTTTGCTGGGTGGGAACTCATTTCTCCTGAATTTGGGGATCTCTGAAGTGCCTGAGTCAGTTTCAGGTATGGGCTTTTGTGATGGGGAGGGAGAATCCCCTCTTCCCTGTGAGCCCCCCTCTTTTCCCTTTGCTCAGTGCCGTAATGACAATGATGGTTGTCCTTTATCATCCCTTGCTGGTTCCTACCTAGAATTATCCCCAGGTACAATTGGCTTCCTTGGGAAATGTTGGGTTCCATGGGTTCTTCCTCGCTGGAGAACTTCGAGCAGAGACTGAGTGACCACTTATCAGGTGTGTTGTAGAAGGGTTACATGTTCAGATACTAGCTGACCTCTGAGGCCTCTTCTAATTCTGAGATTCTGTAGTTTGGTGACACTTAAAATAATTTTTAACTCTGCTGTGTAGCATATGAGCCACTCAGCTCCTGCTCCCCAGATTTACATTCCTGTCTCAAATGGTCTGTCAGTGACTCACATTACCCGCATTCCATGAAGGGTGTACTTCTCTCTGGTCTGGGGCAAATGAAACACTCAGGGCCACAGTATCCCAACCAGGCAGTGCTCCTATTGAGTTCTGACTTCCTGCAGGCCTTCCAAGGCCTGCTCAGAGCTCCACAGATAAAGGAGATCATAGAGTCTTCCGCTGGGCCTCAGGAGCTCTGCTAGGAGCAGGCAGGGTATCCCCTGAATGCTCCCCTCCAGGTGGCTGTCCACATGTGCTCTCATGCCCGCTCATCAGAGGGCAGTGCCCAGCCTACCAGCTCATGCCATCCATGCTGTGCATTCCTGTGGCCTTGTTCCAGTCTGCCCCTTCTTCCTTGTTTTTGTTTGTTGGGTTTTGCCGATTTCACGGCTCATGTCAAAGGACAGATTTTTATGCCTTGGAATGTTCCCCACAATTTCTGTTCTGCTTCTCGTGTCTTTACCTTATTCTTTATTCTGTTTCTATCCTTGGATATAGATAGCCACCCTGGACAGAGACAGACCTCCTCCTGCCCCAGGCCCATCCTGTGGTAGTCCTGGATGGACTTTTGCCTCCTGAGCTGATTGGGGGTACTGATTTTGGTCCTGTAAACCGTCACTGTCAGTACTATATTGTCAGGATACCTACTGTCTACCTACTTTATGCAACTATAGCATCCGGTCATTTCTGACCTTTTTTGCCCTGGAGAATGTATGAGGAATACCTGGGGCAAGGTCTGAATCAGTGAAAAGTCTGATTGGCTGGTGATAACTCAACAATTAAAGCTTGTTTTTTAATTATGTGATCATTAGAACTGCTAACAGTGTTCTTAACTTGAGACCCTCCTGAGCTGACATTAAGGAATAGATAAGACTTTATAATTAACAGCCTGCAGTTTCTTGCAAACAACTTAAATGCTGAAGTCATTCAAGGCAATATGTTGTTTAGCAGCTTAAGCATAGCCTCTTTAATTTTGTTCACTCGGTTGCAACATAGCATGACTAAATGACTTTTTGTCCAGCCTGGTCTTATGGGCACCTTATTATGGTCGTCTCTGCTTCTGAATCTGGTCCTTAGCTTTCTGGTCTAAAAACTCAGCGTGGTTACTTCACCAAGGAATAATAGATGGTGTTAGTAAATTGAGACACACTAAGCAAACAAATAAGAAACCAGTTTGTGAACTCTAGTGCCAAGTTATTGATTTATATATTTGGGGACTGGCCATCTGCACAAGGAAACTCCATGGCCTTCCCAGTGAGTGGGTCCATGCAGGAGACCAAATTATAGAACAAAAATTTCTTGGGTAAATGTCGAGTTGGGATAAAATGAGTTAGATGCCCTCTAAGGCTCTTTATTTTCCAAGTGATGTTAGCCTAATGAATTGTCCTTCTTTACTTCAGGCTTATCACTGTCTGAGTAACTAGGACTGATTGTTCGGAAGTAGGATGCATTCTGTCCTTGACAGGACTCCAATTCTACTCTCCACTTTTATTTCTAGTCTTTGGCATGATCACTTCATTTCTGTTGGAGTGAGAAGACCCGAGTTCATGGCTGGCCTCAAGGAAAATCACTTGATTTCTGTTTGCTTTAGCCCTTTATGGGCAAGGGGGGTATGGTGGAAAAGAACAGAACTCTGGGTGTAGAGTCAGAGAACTTGGGTTCTAATCCTGCTCCTGCTCCTCAGTACTTCTGCCCCCTTGGATGAGTCACTTTAGGTCTCTAGACCACACTTTTCTTCTTTCTGATTAGTTGTGTATAAGTTACTCTTATTTCTTATTGTTCAGTCATTTTCAGTCGGCCCCAGTTTGGCGTCTTTTTGGCAAAGACACTGGAGTGGTTTGCCATTTTCTTCTCCAGTTCATTTTACAGATGAGGAAACTGAGGCAAATAGGGTTAAATGACTTGCGCAGGGTCACACAGCTAGCATGTGTCTGAGGCCAGATTTGAAGTCAGGCCTGATGCCAGGCCTGATGCATTATTTACTGTGCCACCTAATTTCAGATGGATGACTTTTGGGTTACACAGTGAAAAGCTCCTAAATCTCACCAGTATCGTCACCAGATCATCCTATGTACAACAGTCTGGCTTGTTTCAGAGAGAGTTTCTAAGGCAGAGTCCCATCATCCATGGATTGTTGCGCACCGATCACAGATGACACCTCCCATCCCACCACATCTCCTAGTTCTTGCCTCAGTCACTGCTTATGTCAAGGGGTTTCCACTTTTAAGATCTCCACTGCGCAAGGCTGGCTCATGGTGTCTGGCCCAGGCCCATGATATCTGGGTCATTTCTTTGTTCTTCCTGCTTAGATCTGTGTAGACTTCAGCCTCCTGTTGACTGGCACCCCCATTCAGAACAGCCTTCAGGAGCTCTACTCCCTCCTGAGCTTTGTGGAACCCAGTGTCTTCCCAAAGGATCAGCTGGAAGATTTCATTCAGTGCTACCAGGACATTGAGAAAGAAGCTGATTCAGGTGAGTTACCTCCTTCATCCCCTCCAAAACCACTTCCATGAAGCATGAAGATTGAGCCTAACAGTTTGCCTTAGCAGTTTAGATGTTCCTTACTCCGGATCACTGCTCGACCTTATTCTACATTAGGGATTCTTATCTGGGGGTCTGTGCACTTGGTGGGGTGCGTGTGTGTGTGTGTGTATGTGTGTTTATTTTGATAGCTGTATTTCACTATAATTGGTTTCCTTTGTAATCTTACATATTTTTTGTTTTCTGCATATTACAACATGATTCTGAGAAGGTGTCCATAGGCTTCGCCAGGATGCCAAAGGGGTCCATGGCTCAAAAAAAGGTTAAGTCCCCTGACTTGGAGAGTCTAAAGCAGGGGTGGGGAACCTTCAGCCTCGAAGTTTGGATTCAGTCAAAGGGCTGCACTGGAAGACGCAGAAGGCCCCGTGCGGCCTTGAGGCTGCAAGTTCCCCACCCTTAGAAGCATTTGCTAGAAGCAAGCCAAGCTGTCCTTGCCACCTTCTGGGGGGGATGCAAGTGATAAGGATGGGGAGCCTTGCTGCTCATTAGCCATGCGACTTCACCTTCTGAAGTCTCATTTTTCTCCCTCACAACCACCTTGTATTTATTATACATCTACTTACCTACGTTCACGTTGCGTTCCCTGACAGCGGGGGCTGTTTCATTTCTGTCTTTGGGTCCCTGGCGCCTTGCACAGGGCCTGGTGCATGGTCGGCACTAAATTATTGTTGATTGATTAATTAAAGAGAGAATTGTTGGGGCAGCTAGGTGGCACAGTGGATAGAGCACCGGCCCTGGATTCAGGAAGATCTGAGTTCAAATCTGGCCTCAGACACATAACATTTACTAGCTGTGTGACCCTGGGCAAGTCACTTAACCCCATTGCCTAACCAAAAAAAAAAAAAAAAAAGGAAGAGAATTGTTAACCAGGAAGAACTGAAGGGCCCAAAGATCCTAATGACCCTTGCCTTACCTATCGCAGCATGATTCTGAGGGCAAAATGAAAAAATAATATGCAAA